TCCTTTCCGGACTAGGTAGGAGACAAATTATAGTAAAATGCCCATTTTTTAGTAGTAGACTTGATTTGAACACTAGGAAAACACAAACCTAAGAGATCTAGGGGAGAGTATGGTGATTTGTTTTCTTCCCAACAAAATTAAAGTTTTTAAATGTTAAATTTGTTGATCCCAATAACTTAGGTTGTGAATCTCACATAACTTAGGTGCTAGGTAGTATAGAAACAACTTAAAATGTACCTGGTAATGAGAGGGTAAATTTTCTTCTCACAGAGGGTGTGGATTTTAAGTCTCCTAGCCATAGAATCCAGTCTGCTTTCTCATCTACAGGAGTGATTCTTTGTTACAGAAATGAACATACTAAGCATGATTGTATGACGTGACTGTCTTATGCTCTAATATGTATATTTGCTTGTAGGTGACATGTACAGATTATTCGTATTAGACCTATAACCTAAGTTATTTTCCCTCTTTTACCCTATAACTTAATAATTTCTAACAAAAATGAATAATCAAATAAGTGGTAAAAATGTACATTTACGTAAATCTTTAGCATTTAACAATAGAGTTAAATGAATGAACAAACAAAAAACAAGCAAAATAAATATTTTTGTTTTGTATCTGGATGGTTGTGGTGTGTCTTATTTTCTTGCCTCCCTCGCTCCCTCCCTCCCTCCCTTCCTTCTAATTACGCAGTTTTGTTTCTGTTGATTTTGTTTTGAAACACTTCACCTAATTCTTTCCATATTTACTTTGATGCTTCATATTTGTATTTTTAAATTTTTATTTAATTTTTAATTTATAGAATAACACAAGAATTTCCATAGCATACTATAAAATAAAAAATGTGATTGCATGTGGAACTACAAATCTAATATATACAACTTACTATACCTTTTAAATATGTAACGGTTATCATGTAAATTTCCTTTTCTTTTCTCCCCCTCAACTAGAGATGGCTACCATTAGACACAAGCATGTGTATATATATATATGTGTGTGTGTGTATGTGTGTGTATGTAAAGCCATTCTATACACACTTATATTTAGTAGTTCTTTCTATGAATGCAGATAGCATCTTCCTTCATATGTCCTTTGTAGTTAATTTGGGTATTTATAATAGTCAAAATGACTTAGTTGCTTAAAATTGTTCTTAAAACAATATTGCTGGGGCAACTAGGTGGCACAGTGGATAGAGCACCAGCCGTGGAATCAGGAGGACCTGAGTTCAAATCGGGCCTCAGACACATAACACTCACTAGCTGTGCGACTCTGAGCAAGTCACTTAACCCCAATTACCTCACTAAAACAAAACAAAACAAACAAACAAACAAACAAAAACAATATTGCTGTTACTATATACAACATTCTCTTGGTTTGTGCTCATTTTGCTTTTCTTTATTTCATGCAAATCTATCCTTATTTTTCTAAGATCGTCGAGGTCATCATTTTTTATAGCACAGCAGTATTCCATCGCAATCATATACCACAACTTGTTCAGCCATTCTCTAACTGATGGGCATCCCCACAATTTCCAGTTCTTTGCCACCACAAAGAGAGCTGCTATAAATATTTTAGAACATATAGGCTTTTTTCCTTTTTCCCTAATCATCTTTGGAAATAGACCTACTAGTGGTATTGCTAGGTCAAATTTGTTTTTATAGCATTATAATATCACATACATCAATATAATATACTATGGTTTATCCAGATATTCTCATGTTGTTAGGTATACAGCTTATTTCCAGGCTTTTAACTAGTAGAAATAAAGCAACTACAGATTTTTTTGTTCAAATAGGTCTGATTTTCCTTTTTTATTGTGTCATTAGGATACAGTCTCAGCAATTCAATTGCTAGGTCAAAACATATGATCAGTTTTATGTGTCCTTTTGTATATTGCCATGTTCTCAAATTGTTTGCTCCAGCCTATGGTCCCACCAATAATGTGTCAGAGTGTTTATTTTCCCCATAATCCTCCCTCCAATATTGAATTTTATCATTAATTTTACTACATTTGCCATTCTAGTGGGTTCAAGATGGTATATTTAGTTTGTTTTGTCTCTGAAATGAGGAAATTTGACCATCTTATGTGACCATTTATAGTTTTTGTAAGTTTTCCATTCATGTCCTTTGACCGTTGTTATATTAAGAAGTATTGTTAGTCTTATAGATATTTCTCAATTCTTTACAAATTCTGGACATCAGATTTTTATCTGATCTATTTATTTCAACTCTTTTGCCCAATATGTATCTTTGTTTTAATTTTAGAAATATTATTTTTGTTGTACAAAATCCTTTTATCTTTACTTAATCAAACCTATTGATTTTATCTCTATTTTTTCTTAGATTTCTTATTTTTAATATTTGACCAAAATTTCATAATAAAAATTTATAATAATAGCTAGTATTTACATAGCACTTTAAGATTTACAAGGTACTTAATGTATATTATCTCATTTGATTCTCATGACAACCCTGTGGGGTAGGTGTTATTATCCTCACTTTACAAAATGAGGAAACTGAGGCAGAGTTTAAATGACTTGCCCGGGATCACATAGCTAGTAAAGTGTCTGAGGCTGGATTTAAACTCTAGTCTTGTCTACAAATCCAACACTCTATCCATGATGTCACTTGGCCTGCATTTTGGAAAGCTTAAGGAAAGTAGCACTGGGGTTACCTGGATGGCTTTTTCTGCAGAGCCCCAAGCATCTTGTGGTATACATACAAAATGTTACATACGGTTCATAAGTATCATAGATAAAAATGCTGCTTCTCTTCAGAGTTAATAGTATATGTTATTCCTTTGTCTTTCAGTATTTTGAAAAACATATTTAAATCCATTTAGAGTTAACTGTGGTATATGGTACAAGGTATGACCCTGAATCCATTTTTGGCTATTTAGCTGTCTCATTTTCCAGGAGTTTTTATTAAAGAGATTCTATTGTCTGATGTTTTGTAAATAACAACCTAAGTTCTTCAAATGTAGAAGGACACCTGTATGAAAGCTTCAGGATCCTAGTCTTTTATCATGGCTGAAGAGTGGAAGTCCTGAAATTCTTGTTTTTCAAAGGCTCCCTTGAGCTTCTCTCTGGTATAGTCTCTTGGGCTGTCTCCTTAGTTACCACAAAGAAAGGGTCTTTCCCTTTTGTGAGCTCCACACATCTCTTCTGGAACATGACATAGACAGAGCTAATCTTGGAAATCACTGTAGGTGAACTAGACATATGTCTAGTTCACCAATTTTGACTTAATTGTCAGGTCAAATCAATCTTGAAACTGGTTAGACTGATTTTTCCCCCCACTACAGATTAACTGTTTGGCCTCATGGAATTACAATCCAAGCTTGGTATTTTCCTTTCTTCTCTTTATTATAAACTAGGATGAAAAGACTTCCACAACTTTCTCCTGGGAAGTACAAAATCCACATATGTCTTAGTTTCAAAGATGCCTGTGTGTCTCTATGAATGATTCAGTCAGGGATATTGAGACTGTCCATAAGCCTAACAACCTTTATCCATACCTAACGAGTCCCCTTTTATAATTAGAGTCTTAGCCCAACTGAGACACAGGCTGGCTTTAGCCTGTCCTTTGTTAAGGTTAGGTATAGGGTCTAGGTACAAGGTTTGTAGCTCTCATGTTGAGACCACCACCTTGCTATTCATTTCCTATAATTTCAATCAGGAGAATGCCTTGTCATTCGTCTTGTATGCAGAATGGGTGGCCCATGGAGGTACTTTGTTTTCTACAAACACTCAAGTAATGTTTGTGACCTTTGCCATTTAGGCGAAAAGTCTCAGGACTATGTTTACCATGAGCATAGGTAGCAAGTCTGTTAGCATGGGGTGACACAAAGCCTTCTGGGAGATGTAGTGTTATGACTTTCCTCTTAAGGACAGAGAATTTCTCACCCTCCCACGATTGTGGAAAATCAAGTCCTCCATGAGTTGTCCTTGCCTAAATATGCATCAAATCAATTAACTATTAAGAATGCTATTAACATCAAAATAGATATGCTATTTAGTCGTATTGCTTCATAACAAGAAGGGACAAATATTAGACATTGACCCTTCAGAGGAAGAGAGATGCATGTTCAAATAAAATAATTGAGAAACCACATACACAAGACTAATTTCATTTAAGTTAACTTAAATGCATTATGTAGACAGAAAATTGAAAAAAATTATTCAAAAAAATGATACTGAAAAATAGAGTCCTTCTTGCATGTTTACAAAGTTGTAATTGGCAATTACTGAACAACAAAGTATATTAAGTTTCTTGACTAGAATTGATTTAAAGAATCAATTTAAAGTCTGCTTCCCACAAAGTGGGTGGGTATCCATTGATTGAGGAATAACTGAAAAAACTACAATTTAGGAATATAATGGCATATTACTATCCATATAAAAGGACAGATGAGGAATTCAGAGAAGAATTGGAAGATTTATGCAAATGGCTACAGAGTGAAATAAGTAGAACGAAGAGTAAAGGATCCACAGTGTCTACAACAATATGAATGAAAAAATCCCTAAAGTGAAGTTGAACCCTCCATGACTGAAAACTGAAGGTCCTGTAGAACACATGATGAAACCTACCTTTCCCTTTATAACACAAAGGTGGAAGATTACCAGGACAGAATATTGTACACCATAGCAGATATAGTCATTTCCAGCTGATTTTGCTTAATTGTTTTTCTTTGTCCCAAGAGGGGATTATTCTGGAGTACAGGGGCAATTTATAGGAAAATTATATAAAAATAAAAGACATCAAAAAAACCTTTTTTATTTTTTCATTTGCTTTCCAAGGTTAGTTGTTGATTAGTGAATCAATGGAAAGCACATTTCTTCTGTGAGAGTTCCATCTTCTGCTTATGTATTTGACCTTGTCCCAGAGCCAAGATTTCTTTTCTTTTTCTTTTTTTTTTTTTTTTGAGGCAATCAGGGTTAAATGACTTGCCCAGGGTCACACAGCTAGTAAGTGTCAAGTATCTCTGGCCAGATTTTAACTCAGATCCTCCTGAATCCAGGGCCAGTGCTCTATCTACTGCACTACCTAGCTGCCCCTAGAGCCTATATTTCTTGCTTGGAGTCTGGAATTTTGGTCTGGACAGCCAAGTGCCCAAGATAACTATGGTCTCCATCATGTTTTGTTTTGTTTTTTTTAGGGAAGGTTGATGTAAGTCTGACTTAAAATGCAGCAGAGAGCTCCTGTACACCTGTGGATGGAGAAATAGAGCTGACTCGCTCCAGCTTCTCACCAAGCAGGAATGGAATATGATTGAACAGATGAACTGCAATATGTCTGCGGACAAAATGACAGAAGTATTTCCGAAATCGTTCTCCAACAAAGGCATAAATCACGGGGTTGATGCAACAATGAGTGAAGGCAATTACTTCAGTCACTTGCATCGCTATGTCCAGCTGTTTGCTCCTCTCACAGTCCCCGCTAAAAAAAGATGCTTGAAAAGCAGAGACAAGAAGAGTGAGGTTATAGGGGGTCCAGAAAAGAAAGAAGACGATCATGATGACAAAGATGAGCCTGACTGCCTTATACTTCTTGTCATTACGACATCTGAGCAGTTTTTTGATGATTCCTGTGTAGCAGATGATCATGATGGTCAATGGAATAGCAAGTCCCAAGATGTTCATTCTCAGAGCCTGGAAGCGCTTCCATTTGTCTTCGTGGCCCTCGGGATAACGAGGGCTGCATATGTGAGTCTCCAAGTCCTCCTGGGACTCATGAAAGATAAACTCAGGAAGAGCTGCCAAGGCTGACAAGCCCCACGTGATAATGCTGGTGAAGATGCCAAAGGTAACTGTCCTGGCTTTCAGGGCAAACACGGCATAGACTACAGCTAGATACCTGTCAATGGTCAACAGGACAATGAAAAAAATTTCACTGTATAAGCCCACATAATAAAGGCCAGAGAGGATCTTACACATGGTATGACCAAAAACCCAGTCATTTTTCCTAGCATAGTGAATCCAGAAGGGAAGTATGAACAGGAAAAGCAGGTCTGAAATGGACAAATTGAAGAGGTAGATGTTGGTCATACTCTTGAATCTCTTGTACTTAATAAGGATCAGCACCACCGTGACATTGCCCAGTAGACCCACGATGAACACAAAGGAGTACAGAGGAGGCAGGAACTTGGCTCCTAGAGTCTTTATGTTCATCTTTTGGCAAGGCATTGAAAAGTCATAGTCAAATGTGGTTGTTTCCTCACTGGTGTCCATGAGAGATGTTGCCATGTTGCTGTGTTCTGGAAAGAGAGACACAGACAGAGAGACAGAGACAGACAGAAACAGAAAGGAGAGAAACAGACAGAGAAATGAAGATAGACATTAAAAGGAGAGATTGAGAGAGAGAGACAGACAGAGAGAGAGAGAGAGAGAGAGAGAGAGAGAGAGAGAGAGAGATTTTTCTTTGTTTTAACATGTAGTTGGAATAAAATGGAATTCTGGCAATATTCTATATCCCAGTAGAAGCACCATGATTAAACAGGCTTTATACTTCTTAAAAGTAAAATATTCCTACAGATCTCATAGGAAGCTCAGATATTCTGTGAGGGGAAGGAGGGGAGGGAAAACCAGAGCTGGAACTAGAACTACTGAAATTCAGTAGTTTTGTGCAGAGTGCAATGAGAAAGGAAGCCAAGAACTGGAAACTGAAGAAGAAAAGAGCCATAGGAATAATGACCCTGAAAGCACCTGAAGCGGGGTGGGGAGGGAAGAAACAAAAAGGAGAGCAAATAGCCAAGCAACACCAATCAGAACATAATGGTGATCTTGTAGTAAAGCTGGGGGAAACCTGTAAAGAGGCAGACTTAGGCTTGATTTCAAAAAAGGATTCCAATCAGTGAGAGCTGTGCCAAAGTCACATGAGCTGCCTTGGGATGTGGTGGATTCCTAGTTCTGGGAAGTCTTCAATTAAAAGCCAGTTACTGAGTTCCCACTAGCTCTGAAATTCTGTGATTTTCATAATGCCAAATCATCACATCTCTCTGAGATATCACAAGGATTACTAGATCCCTTATTCCTATGGTGGAGATCAAGAAACAACAAATTACCTAAGACCAACCAGCAAATCAGTAGTAGTCTTCTGACTTTCAGTCCAGACGTTGACCACCGACCTTCAATATTAAAAAAAAAAAAGTCAAGGGAGGTAGAATTGATTTTTGAAAGAATAAACAGAATGCTAGAAAGTCAGAAACAAACTACTGTTTTGGCTAAGACAGTTATCATTCCTTTCTAGAAATATTGAACTGGGAAACAGTCTAAATTTTTATTCTGGAGAAGTGAAATGTTTTTATCAAACTCTTTGCAATGACATGGCAGCTGGGGGAGATGCTAAGTCCTTCCAGGAGGGCAGTAACCAAAGAACAGGCTAAGCAACCAATGACTTAGGGTGATAAAGAAGTAAACATGAAAGATGAATAGAGGTTGTGGACAATAGCTCTGGTCCAGTTTTGCTTTTTTGTCCACTGCACACTCAAGGTTTACTGGAAGAAGTAGTAGACTTGTTTATCAGAACTTTTTGCCATAACCAGTAGTCCTCCAACTTTCCTCCCCATTGACCGCCCCTCTCATTTAGCCCATTGCTAAACTTCTGGAAAAATTTTTTTGCACCCAATGCCTCTCCTTCACTGACCCCTTGACTTCTTGCACTCTTACTCTCACCCCTACCACTTTACTAAAATGACCATTTCAAAGATCACCATTGTTCAGATCCAATGGCCTTTTTCAGTCCTCAACCTCCCTGAATTCTCTCTAGGATTTGGGCATTGGTTGTCTACTGTGGTATACTTAGTACTCCAGTTTTTTGACTTTGGAGATACCACATTCTCCTAGTTCTCTTCCTTTTCTAATTAATCCTTCCATTTCTTCTTTTAGAGATTTTCATTTTCCTACCTCTTTAATGTGTCACTTCTTTTTAACTTGCTGAGCCCAGAATAATGTTTATAGACCTCAATTCTCCCCCGCCCCCATATAAAATATCGTATTTATCAAGTTATAGTCTGCCTTTAGGACAGAAACTTCCAAACTTTGTGGGAAAGAATCTATTTTCCATTTCTCTAATCTTCTGCTTCAGACACACACCGGCATAGCCTCATCTTAAATTTCACATTCTCTCAGTCTTAACTTCCTTATCTGCAAAATGAGGGAGCTGGACTTCATGATCCCTAAGGTCACTTGTAACTCACTGTTGTAGCTAATATCTAAGATCCTTCAAAATTATGCCAAGTCTAGGATCCTGAATTCTAAAATGCCATTTTTTAAATATAATAATATATCCTTCCTCCTTTCCTACTCACTCATTTATAGCAATCATGCCCTTTGGCCTTATCATGCTCCATCTCTATCTTCACATCCCTACTCTTGCTTCACTTGCCTCCCTACCACTTGACCCAGTGGTCAGACACTTTACTGTTTCTTTAGCCATTACCCTAGAATCCCTTGTCCTCTTTCAACAAGCATTTATTAAATACCTACTATGTGCCAAGAACTGTGGTAGATTCTGGGAATACACAGATAAAAGCAGAAAAGTTCCTACCCTCAAGAAGCTTACATTCTACTTGAAGGACACATGAACATATCTAAATACATACAGAATAAATACAAAACATATACAAAGTAGTTAAATACAAGATAGTAAGAGAGCGCATGAACATTTGGGGGATCAGAAAAGGCTTTGTATGGAAAGTGGTGTTTGAGCTGCAGCTGGAAGGAAGAGGTGGGGGAAAGAGGGGAAACGTAGGGAATGGCTAGAGCAAAGACGCAAATATGGGATGTGTAGTCTGGCATGAGATTTACAGGGAAAAGGCTAGTTTGGCTGGATCATAGAGTGAATGTAGGATGGAGAGTAATGTATGATGAAGTTGGAAAGAAATGTTGGGACCAAACTGTAAAAGCTTTTAAAAGCAAACAGAAGAAGTTATATTTTGTCTTAGAAATAATGGGAACCACTGGATTTTAGGTGGCTCAATGGGTAGAGTGCTAGGCATGGAGTCAGAAAGACTTGAGTTTAAATCTGACCTCAGACACTTACTAGCTGTGTGACCTTGGGCAAATCACTTAATCCTGTTTGCCTTAGTTTCCTCATCTCTAAAATGAGTTGGAGAAGGAAATGGTAAAACCACTGCAGTATCTTTCCCAAGAAAACCCCAAATGGGGTCATAAGGATTTGGACATGACTAAAAAATAACTCAGCAACATCCACAACTGAATTTTGTTGAGTATAGGAATGACAAAGTCAGACCTGCACTTTTAGAAAATCACTTCGGTTGCTGTGAAGAGAGTGTGGATAGTGTAGAGAAGAGAGTTGAAGCAGGTAGATCAATTAGGAGGTCATTGCAATAGTCCAGGAAAGATTAACCTCTCCCTGTTCTCAACCTTCTAATCTTCAGCCCTGAGTAACCCCCAACATCTGATTTTTCTGCTCCTGTCGCTAGATTGCTGAACACCCTTGGAGAAAGTCACAAAACTGAAATGGCATTGTGAAACTGATGGTACAGTAGCCCACTTTGCTCCTCAGGGCTATTCATTAATCCTCCTTCTGTATCTCATTTTCCACAGTCATTGTTACAAACCCTTTCCTTCTTCCAAAAGCCCCCAACTACACTCCATTACTCACATTCCCAGCAGATCATTTAGCATTCTACTTTACTGGAAAGAAAGTTCCTTTCCTCTGTTGTTTAGAACTTCTCAACCAGATCATAGATTTATAGGAAGGTACCTTAGGGATTATCCCAGCTTTTGTTGTTGTTCAGTCATTTTAGTTGTGTTCAACTCTTTGTGACCCCGTTTGAGGTTTTCTTGGCAAAGATACTGGAGTTGTTTGTCATTTCCTTTTCCAGATCATTTTACAGATGAGGAAACTGAGGCCAGCAGGGTTAAGTGACTTGTCCAGGGTCCCACATCTAGTAAATGTCTGAATCCAGATTTGAACTCATGAAGATGAGTCTTCCTGCCATCAGGCCCGGGGTTTTATGCACTGTGGCGCCACCTAGCTGCCCTATCCAACCTCCTCGTTCTACAAATGAGGAAAGTCAGGCCCTGAAGTAAAGTGATTTATTTGTCTAAGTAAAACAGGTGGCACGTGGCCAGGTCAAATCTTTTTACTCCAAATTCAGTTCTCTCTCTAATGCTCTGTTCTTCCTTCCTTGTTTGGTGCTATAGGCACTTAGTTGTTTCTCATACTCCAAAACTCACAATAGGAGCCAGGAGTTACAGTTACAGCTTGCAAATGTAAGACCCTGGAGTACCTTGGAAAGAGTGATGGCACTGTATTCAGTGGACCTGGGTTCAAAGACCTAGGGCAAATCAGTTCAGCTCCCTGGGCCTCAGTTTATTCATTTGTTAAATCAGAGTTTAGACTAATGACCTCAGGGGTTCCTTTCAACTCTAGATACTATAACCCTCTCATTCTGGCCACAGAAGAGGAGTTGTCCTTTCTTTTCACCAAGGTTAAACCCTTCATGCCATTCTATTTTACCTTTTCCAGGACCTTGCCTCCATCATTTATCCCTTTCATTCTGATGTATCTCTAATCTCTATCTCCACAATTGGTTCATTTATATTTACCTACAAAGATACATAGATCTCTACCCAGTCATAAAACAAAACAAAACAAAACAAAAACTATCCTTGGACCTTTCTACTTCTTCTAGCTACCATGCCATCACTCTCCTTTCCTTTGTTGTAAAATTTCGAGGAAAAGTTAAGTAGACCCAATGCCTTGACTTCCTCAGCACCTACTGTCTTGTTAGTCTTTTGTAATCTGAAACACTCAACTGAAATTTCTCTTTCCAAGTCATCAATTATTTCCCACTTGCCAAATCAGTGGCTTTCTTCATTGCACATCCTTATTGACCTCCCTGAAGTATTTGACACCATTGACTCCATCCACTCTTGGCTTCAGAAATCCCACACTGTCCTGGTTCTCCATCTATTTTTCTAACTGCTCTTCTCCTGTCTCTTTGTATCTTCTTACCTCCTTAAGGTGGTTAAGTTTGGAATTTCCTAAGGTTCTGTCCTTGGCCTTCTCCTTTTCTATAGTCTCTCCTTTGTCAATATCATACACCTCCATGGTTTCAATAACCACTTTTATGAAGATGACTCCCAAATCTGTACCTTCATCTCTGACCCTCTTCTGAGTTCCAGACATACTTCTCCACCATTCTAGTGAACATTTTATACCAATATATCAAACTCAGCATTGTCCAAGTTCATTATCTTTTCTCTAAACCTATTTATCATTATTTTTGTCTTGACACCACCTTTCACCTAGTCTTCCATTTTTATGAACCTGGTGTAATCTTTGACTCCTTTCCTCTTCTCTTCTCCTCTCCTCTCCTCTTCTCTTCTCTTTTCTTCTCTCTCTCTCTCTCTACATACACACATCTAATCAGTTATCAAGTCCTATAGCCTTTACCTTTTTGACTGTCTTTAGCATCCATCCATTCTTTTCTAGACCTACTACCACTCCCTTAGTGCAAGACCTAATTACTATCCACAATTAGTCATCTCTCCACCTCTATCCTTTATATTGCTGCCATATTAATATTATTGATTGATTTGCTCAAAAATCTATTGCCTGCCAAGTAAAATTCAAATTCTTTTGCCTAGAATTAAAGATTTTCCACAATCTGGTACCATTCACAGAATATGTGGATGGGAATAGTATGAGACAAGGCTAGAAAGATAGGGTGGAGGGCACTATTAGTAGTTATTGTGCCTACTTGTATCATCCAGATAACTCAGAGGAAGCATGATCTTCAGTTCTATTGTCTTGCCAGTCATGATACAATATTTGTAACTATCTTCATAATCCCTGAGTCATGAAACATAAGACCTCAAAGGGATCTGAAAGACCATCATGTCTAATTCTCATACATTATAAATGAGGAAACTGACATCTTGAGATTTTAAATGACTTGCCTAAAGTCTCCTGGCTGGAAAGTGTTAGAGCCAGGAATTTGAACCCAGGGATTCTGACTTCAAGTTCAGTGCTTTTTTAATTATGCCAGGCTACTTCCTTTCATTAGTACTTGTCACGAATTGTTCTAATCAAAAGCAAGGATGAGATACGGAACTTTCTATGCTCAAAGCTGAGCTTCAACACTTGTAGGAT